TAGATAGAAACAGAGATAGATAAAAATAGAGATAGATAGATGATTAGATAGAAATAGAGATAGATAGAAACAGGGATAGACAATAGATAAATGATAGCTTGCTAGCTTGCTAGATAGATAGATAGACAGACATATGCCAGAAGGGACTGGCAAATATATATACTGAGAACTGGTAATCCCAAGATATGTAGGCTTGGATTTCAAATTCACATTATCTTTGCGTCACCATAAAATTTAAGCTCTTCGTTTAATAAAATGTGGCTTTAAGTTGATTGTGTCTTCAGGTATCTGCACTAAGCAAAAATCTCAGACACATTAGATTTTCTCACATGTACAATTCCAAGGAATAGGAGCTCAGGGTAAGGAAAAAATTATAAAGCACATATATAAAGGAACAAGCCAGCATGAATTATCTTCAGTAGAACCATTGACAGTAACCTCAGACTAGCAAAATCTGCAGATATTGGAATTATCATATAGAAAATATAAAATTAGTAGGCTGGGCGTGGTGACTCAAGCCTGTAATCCCAGCACTTTGGGAGGCCCAGGCAGGCGGATCACGAAGTCAGGAGATCGAGACCATCCTGGCTAACATGGTGAAACTCCGTCTCTACTAAAAATACAAAAAAATTACCCGGGCATGGTGGCGGGCGCCTGTAATCCCAGCTACTTGGGAAGCTGAGGCAGGAGAATGAAGTGAACCTGGGAGGCGGAGCTTGCAGTGAGGCCAGATTGCGCCACTGCAATCCAGCCTGGGCGACAGAGCGAGACTCCACCAAAAAAAAAAAAAAATATATATATATATATATATATATGTAAAATTAGTAAACAGTTAAAGAAATAAAAGAGAGAGTGAAAAGTATGACCAAAGAGCAAGTCATTATTACAACTATCAAGGCAATATTTCCAAAGAGAGTCATAGAAACATAAATGTAAAAAAATGAAATTAGAAATTGATTAGAACAATTAAATAGCAGATTAGTCACAAGTAAAGAGAGAATTCATGAAATGAAAGATAGAACTGAATAAAGTTTCACACATAAGCACAAACAAAGAAATAAGACCTACAAAAGGCATGCTAAAAGACATAAAAATAGAGTTAGAAGTTTAATATATGTAATTTAAGTTTTATAGAGAATAAAATGAATAGGAAAAAGCAATGTTCATTGAAGTAATTAATAGCTATAAAATTACCATATTTGAAGCTCAACCAATCCAAAGAAGAATAAATCAAAGGGCATCCTGTCCATGACTCACTATAATGAAAGAATAAAAGTTGGGTGAGAACAGAGATGGATTACATCTTTGTTCTAATGTGTTGTTCGAGTCTGATAGCAACAACCTTTAGACTACCTGACTTTTCAATAGCAACAGTGGAAGCCAGAAAGCTGTGGGATAATATCTTTAGTGTTGTGAGAAAACATAACTTCAAACATAGAATTATAAAATCACCTTTCAGGAATAAGAGTGAAGCAAAAAATACAGATAGATAGATAGATAGATAGATAGATAGATAGATAGATAGATATAGTTAAGAGATCTTACTAGAAGCAAAGACTAGAAAGGACTACAGCTCTTTCTAAACTTTTAGAATATGAGTTTCATGAAGATGTTAATCATTTAAAAAAAACTAAAAGTGAGAGAAAAATGTTAATCAGAGAAAATAGCAAGCATAAGGCTAATTTAAACAAAACTTAATGGTATAAGACAAAATGTATTGATATTAAATGTCAGAATTAAAAGTATTGGATACAAATATAAGCTGGAAGATAATACAGTCTAAAATCCTCATATTGTTTGGGAACAGAGGCTACATATTCCTTAACTCAGGACATGAAAAGTTGTATCTGCATGCTAATATTTCGATGATAACCACTAAAAAAGCAGAGGTAGAATGAATAACTTCCAAACTAATAGAATGAAAAAATGTGGGAGCTAAGTAGATAAACATGCAAGCAAAGAACAACAAAAACACTCTGTATCAATTCAAAAAAAGTGAGAAAGGAACAAATGACATATAGAAAAAAAGAGCAAATAGAAAGCCCAATTAAAAGGGTAGAAAATATTTCAAATGTGTCAATTATTATAGTAAACATAAAAATATCAAATTATAAGGTTAAGAGATAAAGACATCAGAATGAAATGAAGGTTACAACTATATAGTAACAACAACAACAACAACAACAAAAACTGCTAGCCAATAGATACTAACAAAAATAAATGTTAGTGTCCTATATTATCATTTCATAAAGTAGACTTTAGAAGATAGGGCATTGCCAGCCAAAAAGAGAGGTGATAAATAATGAATGATAAAAAAATTCAATTCACTGAAAAGATATAACAATTTAAAATTTTTATACTGCTAAAAATATGCCTTCGAAATTTAAAATGAAAAATATTTGAGAACTTGAAGCAAAAATTAAGAAATGGTAGATTTTAAATGCTATATATTATGTTCTTTAAAAGGGATGTGACAATATTTATGAGGTCTTCAGTAAAGTTAAAAAATAATGAAAAATCAACTGTGACTGATTTTTTTTTTTTAACAAATTGATAACCAGCTATAGAATTCTGAATAGACAGGCAGCTTAAAGATAAACCAGTAAAATCACTGATTTTAAGAATAAAGGGACTGAGGTCCCAACAGTTTTGGTAATACACCAAAAGGTCAGACAAGGTATACTGGCAAAAGTACGACTAGAAGCAAATTAACTGACTTCAATGTCAGAATTTTTTCTATATTACTATCAACTAATTAAGGATATTTGCACACAGCCCTATTCTGAATTGTAGTTCTCTTATAATACAAGTATACTAGTTTTATTTCGGTTTTCTTTGCTTCCTCACAACCTCCTTTATCTTATGTGGTGAGAGAAGTAGATTTGTATTAAAACAAAAACTGGAAGACACAGATATTTCAGATAGGATGAAACGAAAAAGTTAGCAAGTACACAAAACTAACTTGGAATAAGTCACATAAATTGAATCTTGGTATAGAATATTTTCCCCTATAAAATTAAATATAAGTAACACCACATCCTGTTCTGAGAATAAATACTCTAGATTCTGCTGGAAATTACTTACAACTGGAAGTAATCTGGACACAATCAGAAGTCTGAAGATTCCTATGATCTCTTTCACTATTCACATCACCATGTGATGAAATTTGTAAGACTGGTGGAGAAGAAAAATGTTATAAAGAAGGTTACACTCTACTTACCATATATTGATTATTTGGCCTTCTCTAACCTGGGATCCTTTTGACCACTCCTCAAAAATGATTATGAAAAATAATTATCAAAAAACACACTCTTAAGAAATCCAATGAATATTTTTACTTCTAATTTGACTTAGTCTTCCTCAGTCTTTAAACTTATTTATTGCTTTCTCCTTCTTAAAGATGTCTTTCCCTTGGTCACTGTGATATCATTATTTTCAGATTTTTTTTTCCAAAATGGCTCTTTATATTACCAAGAATCAGTTTTCTGATTTTGTATTTCCTTACTCTACATTATCTTCCTTTGAAAGGAAAGCCCACTGAGTCTTGGTTTACTTGAATTGAAACTGGACTATTGACATTTATTCAGATTAATATACAATGTCATCTTCTCTTGACTTAACTACATAATCTCTACTCTCAGTTATTTTTTCATTCAATCCATTTTCCGTAAGGTGGCCAGATACATAATTTTTAATGTAAAAATCTAATCATCACACCCTTACCCCCAAATCTTTAACACATTTGTTCTTACAGAGATTTTGAAAAAGAAAGAAAGAAAGAAAAATGTCTCTTCAGCCCAGCATACAAAGCCCTCTATCATCTGTCCTCAGCTAAACTTTTTAGGCTTCTCTTCATGATTTCCATGATTCTACACCATATATACTATACTTGAACAACACAACACTGCTTACTATTAGTCTCCAGACATGCTATTCTCTCTTGCATTTTCATAATTTTGGTGTTTATCTCTCCATGCATAAAATCTTTTTTTTTTTTTTCAATGAAATTCTCTGCCTGGTAGACTACTTATTGCTCATTCTTCTAGGATTAATGCATATGTTATTTCCTCAGTGAAGTCCTTCTGGGCTCCCTCAGGCAGGGTTAGTATTCCCTTCTTAATGTAGCCAAGACACTTTATTCCTCTCTCTATTATCGACTTTCCACATTGTATTAGAATGCTTTGCTAACTGCTTCTCTTCCCCAGTGGACTGTGAGCTCCTGGAGGACAAGGCAATGAAAGCAAAGCAGAGTGCCTGGAACATAGCAAGTACTGGCTAATTTGATGTTGGCTGCACAAATGGCCTGCTCTGACAACTGATGCCTTGATCACATTGGTAAATGCCTAAGAGTTTCTGGAATTGAAGCTCACATCTTATGTCAGCTGAAGTGGGTGTGTCTGTAAGAGTAAAAGGGCAATAATTTAGAACTTACTTAAGTATAAAACAAATAAAATATAATAAAAAGTCAGCACCTTTTATCTTTCTGGCTTTTCTCTTTCCATAATTCTATCTATGATGTAGGTGTCACCTTTTCCTTTGAACCCAACATCCAATCAGTCACTACCAATTAGACTATCATTGAAAATAACATATATCACCTTCTCAACTATGGTTTACATTCCTCCTTGTTTTCCACCCTTTATGTTCCCACCTGACTTGAGACTAGACATGTCCTACTCATATTGTTATCACAGTCTCCTAATTATAGAAGTTTTAAATTTCACCCCTTGAGCCATAACCCATCTTATATATTCTACTCTTATGTTAATATATCTAAGTGGCATTTTAAACTCATCACTCCCCTATTAAATACAATAACAAAAACTTCCAATGATGTTAAATAAACTACACTAGCTTAGTATTCAAATTCTGTAGAGCTCCTTTCTGGCTTCACTTTCACTGTGACCTCACTGGATCTTTGCAGTTACACTGTTAGCATCGTGAAGCAGGAGCCATATCACCTGTAGTCAACATTCTGTTATCACCACATAGCACATTTC